GATATCTGCCCAACAACTGCCTGTCCAACCTCAAACTGGTGTCATCCTTGTTATTAATTTTTATACCAAGAATAATCATTTTAAAACAATAGCATAATCCTCCTCACTTTTTTCTTTAATAACGTTTGTTTTATTTTACCTCCTAAATACTCATATAGTTTACTATGACACACATATTCTCATGGCAATACTCTACTTCCAAATAAATTTCTTTTTGAAAGCCTCTCTGTTCTTTATTTGGGTTAACTCTTCTAAATCAAGAAAAGCTTTAATGAAATAAGTTTATTCTCTATTTTTACCTAGAATGCTTGTAGGTTTCTTGATAATGTTACTCCTGTTCTTATTTGGTTGTCCATCTTACTCCCTCAACAAAAGGAATCTTCAAAAAAAGCATGGCTTAAGATAAAGAGGGCTAGACTGTAAGGTAATAGTCCTACTATCGTGTCATAAATGAGTCCACGACAATAAACTAATCACTTAACCTAATGGAACTTATTTTTTAACTATGAATCACTTAATATAATGGAATTTTTTAAACTATGAATCAAATTATTAAATGATTTCAAAAATTCTTTCCAATTCCAAAATGCTACTTTTAAGGCCATAGCAGGAATCTTCATTCTACATATCAGTGAAGTAAAATAAAACGTGGACAGGGATTGACAGTTTGACTACCTGAAGACGGTACTAGAGAAATAAGCTGCATTTATTTGTAAAAACTGATGGGTAACACTAAACTATCATTATGGTAGAAAAATAACCTTTAGAAAAAATAACAAACTCTTTAACATGTTAAAAACAACATGTTATTAACTATCTGGCACTAATGTATGGGTAATTTCTGACTTTTCTACATATGCAGAGAAACTTAAAATATGAGTATGGCAATTCTAATTTTTTAATCTAGTATTTCATTTGTAATTTAAAATTTCACTATCAATTGTTATCCTAACAACTAAGTCTGTAAGGTACTAAAGAGTATACTGTGTCAGATGCATGCTAGAAAAAATGCTGATTTTCCAGGAAGAAAAGATCTTTTCAAATTACTGATTTTCCCCAATAGCTTTCTAGTATTAGATATAAGGTGACAGATGCTTCATAGCAAATTAACAGTGTAACACTGATAATTCTTCAGATTTTATTTTCCTTTCTTTTCCAGTAAATTTTAGGACTAATTAAGATGTTGATTTTCATTAGGTAATGAAATGGCCTAATATCCTTAAAGATAAAAATTTGCTGCATCTATAAGAACAAATACTTTTAATAATGTTTCATTTTACTACTAAAGAATACTTTTTAAAAATGCACCAACCAACTAGTGATTATTCATATTTTAGCTTGGGAAAGCAGCTTGTATACTTCTGACCTACTTTACTATATATGAAGTCAATCTCTTTTTAAAAAAAAAACATTGTGCCAAGTTTTCTCATATGCCATTTCTCTCAGCTTTCTCCATACTAAACATCAGGCTATAGAATCTCATTTAAGTTTCACTAACCCTCCTTAATAACTTCCTTCTAAATCTTTTGGTTTCATATTTGAAAAAAAGTATATACAAGCACGTGTGTGTATACAATTATAGAAACAGAAAAATATGAAAGCTAGCAGTTGAGCATTTAAAATTTTTAGCCATGAATGGTGCCAATCATATAATAGAGGTCTGAAAGAATGACTCCAATAATCAGATAATAAAACACTGATGACAATTTTTTTCAAATGCTGTCAACAGGTAAGGTAGACAAGAAAGTCAAAAATAAAATTTTTCTGGGACTGGCTACTTTTGCATTCAATATCCGGTTATAAGCTGAAAAGGTGTGGAAAGTTAAATGAAATTTTAAACCAATTAGATATACAAGAAGTTTAAGTCAAACCTACAAAAAACAGAATGTACTATATAAGTGGTTACATGATAGAGGAACTGTATAGATGGAAGTGTTTAGGGGTGTTAAAAATCAGAAATCAAATGGTATTAGAGTTTAATGTAGTTATTTTAATGTTGGTACTATCTTAATAATTTTGTTGTCTCATTAGGTAGTTATGATAGCCTCATCTCAAATTCAACCTGTTTAAATTAAAGCAAAACCAAATGTTCATCCTCCTAATCTCTATTATGTGTAAATGCCATCTCCAGTCTTCTCATAATTTATACTACAACCCTGAACCATGCCTATCTCCCTTACCTCATCCCAGCCCCCTTACCATAGCCAATCAGTTGGTAAATCCTCTGAATTTTTCCTTCAAAATATCTCTTGTATCCAATCGTAACATTTCATTTTCATGATGGCTGCCCTAGGTCTAGTCCTTTATTCAACTACCTAACTGATCTCCAGAAGGCTTCCCCACTCTAGTGAGACTGTTCATCATCACCACTTTATTTCAGTAAAATACTGGCTCGCCATGATTTTGGTCTGGCCTTTGAGAGCTTCCATGGTCTGGCCCCAATACATTCTTTTAGTATCATCCACAATAACTCTAGACTTTCCATATCAGTTAAACTGATCCACTTGCTAACACCAACCACAACATTCTTTCCTTGATGTCCTTTCTTGATTTATTACTCACTTTACTCTGGATGTCCTACATCCACCCATTCATCACAAAGCTAAGAGACAAACAAGGGTGAATGAAATCTTACCACCTTTAAGACTAGTTCTTAACATTCCCATATCAAGTCTACTGTTCTCCTTTCCTTTCCTCTGAGATTTTAGGGCATCTCACTACACACAGGAGAGCCAGAGATGCTTCCCATAACCATGGTCATGAGCTGGTTCTTATCTCTCTATAGCTTTGCTCACATGGAACACATTCAATAAATGAATAAATGGATATGTGAGTAAATGAATCAATATATAAATGAGATTGAGATTTGGGGCAATGTAAATTTTAAGGATTCAGAATATGAGAATAACAAGTGTGTTCGAATTTTGTGTTAGATATCTCTAAATTAGGAAATATAATGATACCTCAACATTTAATATTTGAAATACTCCAGATACTCAATTTACAGCTTTTATTGGGGGAAGAGATGTTACGACTATATTGCTAGGTAGTAGCTTTTGAAAGGACATTAAAAATAGGCTGAGCTTACACCCTTAAACTTATTGCTTTAAAAATATCTATACTTTTATTAAAAATATCTTTCAAGTAAGTAAATTTGCCTTCAAAACAAGTTGCCTTAAAACTATATGCTGCATTCAGAGAATATCTCAATAATAATTTCAAAAAACTTGTCAAAGAAAATTCAGATATGTTAAACTATGCTATATGATGCATATTAATAGTTTTTAGGTAAATAGTTTCTATTTTTGTAAAGTACACAAATGTGTCAAATACCTATTCATATGACAATATATATTGTCATATGCATTGGAAAAAAATACAGTTTTAATCAGATATTATTACATTATTGCTAGAAAGCAAGCTACTTTACCATAAATGTTACATCATTTGATACAGACCTGTAAAGAAAGCATAACATGTAACATATAACCTCTATACTGTGTTAGCTCAGATAAATGGCATATTTTTATGTCTGGGATACTAAAGCACTAAAGTGTGTTTCAATAAAAAATATCAGATGGAGGTCAAATGCAGTGGCTCACGCCTGTAATCCCAACAATTTGGGAGGCGAAGTTAGAGGCTTGCTTGAGGTCAGGAATTCAAAATCAGCCTGGGCAACATGGCAAGATCTCATTGACACAAAAAAATCAAAAAATTAGCCAGTCGTGTTGGTTACTGGCATGGGGGGTTGAGGAGGAAGGATTACCCAAGTCCAGGAGGTTGAGGCTGTGGCAAACTGTGATCATGCCACTACACTGCAGTCTGGGCAACAGAGTGAGTCCCTGACTCAAAAAAAAGACAAAAAGATTACATGAAATTATTTTCATCTTTAATTTTGAGTACAAGTCAGTTGTTTACACATATAAATGCAAGTGAGCACAGCCTTTATAGTATGTGCTTTATTTTCTCACTCTGTGGGCAGAAATATTGTATGCTGAAATGGCCTCTGTATTACATAAGTTATATGAAAAAGTCAGATTTTATTAAAGAAGAAAAATGTTAGATTTTGGAAGTAGGGGAAATAGAAGGTAAAACAGATTGAGGTAAATAGCACTGACGGACGTTTGATGGTTGCTTCTCTGGTGTCTATCCCCCCTCTTTCTCCCTTCCACAAAGCTTTAGTTTCTTTTCATTTCTCTTTTTCTTTTAAAGATGTGACGGTTTTAGTTTCCATTGGTGATTGCTGTGGCTATGAAAAAGGTGACTATCCTGGTTTCAGGGCTGGTACAAACTAATCAGTGGTCATAGTCACATTCCTATCCTTGATAAGGTGTGATCTAACCCAGTAAAAAACCAAAAATTTTATGGCTTTTTTCCTAGGAAGTATATGAGTCAAAGTCGTTCATCTTTTCTTCTTCCTTTTCTTTGTTTCTCTCTCAATCTCTATCTCCATCTCTAGCTCTCCTTAGATGTAAACATGAGTGCTGAATCCTTATCCTCCCAGCTGAATAATGATCCATATAGTCCCTCATTGGGAGAGGAGCCAGCCTTAGGATGATAATGACCCCTCTAAAAACAGAATGATGGAAGAAAACTGGGGACATTATTGACATGATCAATGACCCAATGCAATATATAGTGTCTAAATCCAGTCCAAGCTCTAAACTTTTTAGTTACAGAAGTAAATGATCATTTAGGCCAATTTGAGACTCTGTTTTCAGGTACTTGCAAACAAAAGAATTGTAACAGATATTAATACAAAGACAGACAGACAGACACACACACACAAAATGACTGGGGGAAATATTTGCTATATAACAAAGTTCACAGTTCTGGGTTTTTTAATCTAAGAAAAGTCATTAAAATCAGCATTTCAACAAATTCACAGAAGCAGAAATAAAAATAAATTTCGAATAATTGGAAGCTGGATCTAAGTTTAATAAGAGAATCATGTTAAAGGTTTATTTATTTTTTTAGTTTCCTGAAGTAAAATTACTTACCTAGATGTGTACTATGTTTATATTCTATCTTGTGCTGGGGATTCTTCCTGAAAAAGGAAAGGAAAGCAAAAATAAGATCTAGTCTTCCAATAATTAAAAATTGATAAGACTTTAAACTAAACTAGAATACCGACTATTCTATGAATAAAATTAGGCCAAATAGGCTCATTATGGAAAAGCATTTGTTTTTTATTTACTGAGTGCCTATTCCATGACAGGCATATTTCTAGATGCAAAGATCACATGGTGAACAAAACAAAGTTGTTACCTCAAGAACTCAATGCCCTAGAAAGAAAAAATATATCGTATTTCAAGAATATATTATATTTCTAAAATGTCATATGTCACATACAAAGTATAATGTAAACAACTATAGAAAATATATGACACAAATATCAAATATGTGTATGTGTGTGTATATAGTGTCCAAAAATACTTCTAGGGCTCTTCTTAAATTGAAAGAAAAAAGCATGTAAGTAATTCTTCTCCAAAGAGCACCAATCATTTGTTATAAAAACACAGGAAGGTCAATTTCACTAACAAATGTGTATAATACATTCTGAAGTCAAACAGAAACTACTGGTTGAAGATCTGTTTTTGATTATATGTACTTATGATCCCATCTATTATTTTATTCATTAAACAAATGTTTGGGTACCCTACACATATAAGACGTTCTCTAGATAATGCAAAACTGTCCCAATAGCAAAAATCCAAGGCAATAGGTTCATCCTGATCTAATTGATTGGTTCACCTCTTAGGGAACTGACACAGCAGGGCTGGGCTACACTGACGATAGATATGTGCCGAGATGTACAACTTTCCAATATGCCTGTATCAGAAGTAATTATTTGTATATGACAAAGGTTCAGTTGTTTATTCATTCAGAATATGTTTCACTATATTCTGAGTCTCAGCAGGCACTGAAGATAAAATATTTAACAAGACATGCATTCTTGCCCTTAAAAAGACAGACTCTGGAGGCAGAGGCAAGACAGACATTAGATGAGCATTTTCTTCATTGAAAAATAAGACCATCTTCCGTGAGGATAAGAAATACTCCTTATAATATCTTTCAGACATAGGAACTAAGTCAAGCTTTAAACCTTCTCTTTCTCAGGAAAAAAAAAAAACTTTATTCTTATTTTTTCTTTTCAACTGAGCAAATAAGAAAATTTTTTAAAGAATCATATAACCTAGGGTTTATATTATTTAAATTTTTATGTATGTCCTCCCATTCAACTTCTTATTTCTAGATCTATTCCATTGGAGAACAATGGCCAAGTTTTCAGGAAGTGGATCTCCAGTGCCAAATCTCGTCTATGAGTACAGAACATAAATACATACTAGAGATGACCTGAGTCTCTTCCACCTACTCTGGGTGACAGATGAGCAATGTGAGCCCAACAAGGTGAGTTCTGGCCCAGGGTCTGTGCCTTCCAACTTGGATAATGACCTCATTAAGGCAGAGGTACAAGCAAAATTTTGGACTGAATTTTTTAAATATTTCTGTAATAATCAGGTGATTAAATGTTTTATTTATAAATTTCTTTGTGGGACTACTGTATTATAAAAAATGTACCTGAGTGCTCTTTTTATTATTTAAAAAAGTATATACTTTGCATTTAAAGTATGTCATAATAAAATTATACTTAAAAAAAATACTGTATTTTTCTCCTCTGTGCCTTTGACACTATTGTGATACTGGTGAACAAAGCAAATAATTTCTAATCACATAGATCCATCTGCTCTATAAATATTTATGTTTTTCTTCCCACACTGCCATTTTGTTGCATTTTTCTAGAAATGTTAATTTTTTATCTTCATCATAATTTATTGTGCAATAGGAAGAAGAGAACACACACATATAAATTAGTGAATGAAACCAAGAAAATAGAATATTACTGCTTAGAACTGTGGTAATCATGAAATCTATTGTCTAAGATAGGTTTTAACTAGTGTTACTTTCAAGAGTTTCAGCTGAAACCCTGAAATGTTTATAATGCTAACCAACAGAACTCTGCAATGAGGGAAATTTTCTCTATCTGAGTTGTTTGATACAGTAGCCACTAACTGTATGTGGCTGTAGAGCACCTGAAATGTGGGTAACAAAGCTGAGAAACTAAATGTTAAATTTTATTTAGTTGTAGTATTTTACATTTAAATGTAAATGCCACATGTTGGTAGGGGCTGTCATACTGAACAATACAATTTTAATTCAAACACCAAGAAAAGAGAGATCCTCTTTTCCCAGCCAAAATAAATTTAAAGTTAAATTCCCCCAAAGAAAAAAAATAAATACTCTCTTTCTATGGAACTGACCCTCAAAAAAAGTAAAAATGCCCAAAGTAGAAATACTATTATTGAAAGTATAAAGGTAGAGACTAAAATCAGAAAGACCCAGTTCAAATCCTGACTCAGCCACCTTTTTGCATGCTGCTGAAGCCTCAGTTTCCCCATTTGTAAAAGAGAGTAATGACAGAACTTACACCCCTATAAATCTGTTGAGAGGATTCATGAGATAACACAAAATAAATTTTTAGTTCAAGGGCTTGGTAAATGGTAAGTAAATAAGTAAGCCATTGACTCATTCATTATTAGTTCAAGAAATAGTACTTATTATATGCCAGGCCTGGTGTCAGTGACACTCATTATTGCTAATCTCTCTTTTTTTGTAACTTTTCCTACAATCTGAGCATTAAACAGTGCAAGAATACAAGTGCACAGTTAATTAGGGTCATAACTCAACAGTTTTGCGAAGTGGAAAAAAGATTCTGTACAACATTGTGCCTTTATGGTTATTAACCCAAATTTGACCTTTTGGTGAAAAATAAATTAAAACTGGAAAGAAATAAACAGAACAACGTAGATGTGATGAAGAGATCTGCAAATGAACACAGTACACTGATGATTTGTGGGAAGATCATTCTACTGAACAAGCTGACAGGGGTCATTTGTTACATTCAGTCTTTATTAAACTACAATTAAAGCTGGGCATCAGAGAAGGGGGAACAGAAAAATGGGGGGGCATGAATACCAAAGATATTCTTCATCTGTAAGCTGGAAAAAGATTACTAGTCATGTGAGTTGTTTTTAGTAACTTTTTATTTTTAAAAAATTTCACACCTATTTTTAAAAGCAGACAAGAATAGTACACTGAAATTCCATACACCCTCATCAAGATTCTTCAAGTGTTAACATTCTACCTGGTTGTCTTATTGTCATTATCTGTCTATCCATAGTCGTTCAAGATTTAAAGGCTTTTTCTCCTTCCTTAGAATATATTTGCTGCAGATACTAAACAACCCTATCTTTTCACACTTTGCTCTTGACAGCTAATTAAGCAGGATTATTGAAAAGTTAAATTTGGTCTTAATTGTTTGCTACTGGACCCTTTTTCAAAGCTACTTTAGAAACTCTCAAGTAATTAAATGTCAGGTTTTTTTGTTTTTTTGTTTTTTGTTTTTTTTGAGTTGGAGTCTCACTCTGTCGCCCAGGCTAGAGGGCAGTGGCACGCTCCCGGCCACCGCAGCCTCGACCTGCTGGACTCCGGCGACCCTTCCGCCTCAGCCTTCCGAGTAGCTGGAACTACAAGCAAGCGCTACCACGCCCAGCTAATTTTTTTATTTATGGTAGAAATGAGGTCTCGCCAAGTTGCCCAGGCGGGTCTCGAACCCGCGGGCTCAGGCAATCCACTCACCTCAGCCTCCCAAAGGCGCGGGATTACCGGCTGAACCACTGAGCCCGGCTAAATGTCAGGCTTTTAAAACAAGTATAGAAATGGAACCAAGGGGGTTAACAGAGACTCAAGTATAGTTTATGCACCACATACCAGTTAAAAGACTTCTGACATCAGCTGTGAGGCTAAAAAAGTTAAAAGGAAGACAAAGTTTTTAAAAGGGAAAGGGAAGACAGTGTCAGAAAGGAGTGGGGTACCGGTTTAACCTGAAAGTTTCAGAAGCTGGTTCCTCATTCTCTGTCATCTTGAAACAGGTCCAAGTTACACTCACATGCATCATCTACATACTCTAACCTCACAAACTACCTAGGAAAAGACAAGCCCAGCCGGGTGGTGGCTCAAGTCTGTAATCCCAGCACTTTGAGAGGCTGAAGTGAGAGGATTGCCTGAGCCCAGGGGTTTGAGACCAGCCTGGGTAACTTGGTGAGACCTTATCTCTACAATAAATCAAGAAATTAGCCAGTGTGGTGGCGCATGCCTGTAGTTCCAGCTTCTTGGAAAGTTGAGGCGGAAGGATGGCCTGCGCCCAGCAGGTCGAGGCTGCCATGGCTGTGTGTGCCACTTGCACGCCAGCCTGGGCAACAGAGTGAGACGCCAACTAAAAAAAAAAAAAAAAAAAAAAAAAAGACAAGCTATTTCAGAATAAATAAATTAGTAAGAAAAATGTTTTGCATTCGATTATTCTAAAAAGAGAGGAAAATGTAAATTCAATTTTATATTTAAAAATGGGGAAAATCTTCAGTTCCACATACAAACTTTCATCCGCCTTAGAAGGAGAAACTTGTTTCTTTGAGGCTCTTCCAATCTTTCCTAGAACAACTTGTTCTTCTCATAAAAAGATAGGTGTAAGACTGCAATGTAGACCAAAAGAAACTAGTTGAGTCAATGTTCTTCCATATTTAATTTAGACATCAAATTTCCCATTTAAAGCAAAAGAACTAATATCAATAAAACTTTGCTAGCTGTTTTGAAAATGAAGGGGAAAATATTCTTCTATGACAGGTTCAAAAGTTTCCTGTTTTGGGTATTTTCAAATAGACTTTATTATTTTGATGATAAATACAACTCACAGAATATGTGAACTTAACAAGAAAGTGAGTCCAAACAGAAAAGATATTTTATCATATGCAAAAGCACCCACTCAGAAAGAAATCTTAGATACATTTGGTTTACATAACAACTTAAGTGCTAAATTATGTATTTTAAATGCTAAATTCTTAAATTTTTCTCTCCTTAAAAGAGCCTTCATTATCTCAGCCCCAACCTTTGTTTGCAGCCATCTTTCATTTCTACTCTAGGGGAGTAGTT